CTCTCTCTCTCTCTCTCTCTCTCTCTCTCTCTCTCTCTCAGTTCGGTACTAACCTGTGAAGGTGGCGCCTCGTTGCAGGCACATCGAAGACGAAGCTGGAGCTATGGCGCCACAGGTAAGTCTCCCTGGCCTCCGCCAACCATCTCTCTCTCTCCAATGCTACTCTAGCTCCTACTAGCGCCGCTGAAGACTACTCCTAACGCTACTACTACTGCAGCGCTCCTCCAGAGTGCTACTGCCGAATCCTGAAGACTGCCTCCTGCCTCCTGCACGTGAAGTGCCTGGGAAGTCCCTATGAACTACCTGCAGCCTGCAGAGCGGGCCAGTCTTATAAAGTGCTGGCCCGTCCAGGAGGCTGCGCTTGCCAATGCCAAAACGTGCCAGACCCTGGCGTTGAAGCTCAAACAAAGGTTGTCTTGAAAACAGGCCCAAAATGGCCTGTGCTAAAACCCTGGTCTGGTGCCTAAGTTTCAGGGCAGGTCGATCTTACGAGGGCCTGAAAATGGCCCTCCGTTTCAGGCTCACTATCCTTTACCCAGACACGTTCCCCTACCTGAAATGTGGACTGTCGTCTGTGTTTGTTCTCAGAGGCAATCATTGCTTCCTGAGATTTCCTGACGTGTTCGACAGCCTGCTGCAACAACTTCTCATACAGGACACCAAACTCTATGGTTCCAGGTGTTGCAGTTGGTCGGTTTTCAGGAAGGAGGAAGTCTAGTGCAGATCTAGGCTTCCACCCCAAATGCAGCTGATTAGGACTGACATCGGTGGTGCTATGTACAGCTTTATTGTACAGGCTGGCAATGAGAGGCAGTTTCTCATCCCAGTCATCCTGGTTGGGCTTTATATAATGCCTCAGCAAGTGCTGCACCACACAGTTCATCTGTTCCGCTTGCCCATTGGCTTTCGGATGATTCCCCAAAGTCATTTGAAGTTGACTACCCATCGTTCAGTGGCTTTCTTCCGGATCTCACTTGTGAACCGGACATCTCTATGACAAAAGATGGTCTTAGGCAATCCAAAGTCACGCACCCAGTTATCTATAAATAACTTGATGACGTGTTCAGTCTTGGCCGTCTCTAGCATGACAATTAGTCTAGCGCACTCAGTGAACCTGTCCACTATAACGAAGATATGACGTTTGCCAGTCTTGCTGGTTACGAGAGTGTCCATATAAATCCATGGAGACACTTTGTCACGGACCCACAAGAATGGGCAAAAGCTTGAGTAACCCAAGCGGAGCTCGAGTTCATGGTTTGTCCCGTTGACAAACTTGACAAGTCTGAATGAACTTCTTCGCATCGTCTAGCATACTAGGCCACCAGAAACGTTGAACTAAATAAGCACTAGCCTTCTTGTAGCCAAAGTGCCCAGTCATGTCATGACACTCGCCTAAAAATAAACTACGCAGAATCTCCCTAGATGGAACACACAATCTCTTGAACCCTGCCTTTTCAAGAAAGAATAGCCCATCCACCATCAAAAACTCATCTGATGCGTCCTGGTCTTGAGCCTCTAGTCCGTGGATGATGTCCATTATGATGGGATCTTCCTTGTAGGCTTCCACCATCAATCGAGTTTCTTCATCAAATAGGCCAAACTCGGTAATTGGCGCACCTAGGTAGTCTGCCCTACATGACAGCGCATCAACAACCTTATTGTACTCTCACTTCACATAGTCCAGCTTAAAGTCATATTGATCTATGACTTCAATCCATCGTTTGAGTGTATCAGAAAAAACAGGTTGCGTCTTGATCCACTTTAGTGTCTGATGGTCGGTTCTCAAACAGAAGAACCTGCCAAGTAGATGCTGCCTTCAGTGGACAAGGGTTTTGTAAAGGGCTTAGAGTTCCCTCTCATAGGTGGACTTCGCCAATTTCTTTGATGGCATCTTCTTACTCATGTACTCGATCGGCCTCAACTTCTTCCCTTCCTGCTGGGCCAGCACTGCGTCCCGTGTGTCCGGAAACGGATTCAACGGGGGATCCGCGTTGAAAGATTCAACGCACGTTGAATCCACGTTGAATCCCCGTTGAAACGCTCGTTGGACGGGTATAAACGGGGTCCGGGATGATTTTTTTCTTGGGCTAAACATAATCCAAAAATAAAAATAAAAATAAATGGAGTTGTAGATCTTTTTGAGGACTACAACCCCATATTTTTATTTTTATTTTTTGAACTTTATTTATAAAAAAAAACTGTGTTAAACTCCGAACCGTCTGGTGGCCTGGCCTTCGTCTGGCAGGGGTCCCGGGCGGCCCGGCCGGTTGGGTGCCCCGGTTTGGGGCCAGACGAGCCCAACACAATTTTGCGCGGGGGGGTTAAAGTTGTAAATATTTCTGCGGTGGAACTCGAAAATGGGTCGGCAGGAATGTAATAACCCTGTTCAGAAGTAGCCTGGGGCCCAAAACTCAGCCCCAGGCCACGCAGACCTGAGAAGGTCTGCACTGGGCTGTGTGACCAAAACACGCCCAGGCCTGAGTCTGTTGAGTGTGGCTGTGTGACCGAACGCTGCACACAGGAAATTCAAGAGTCAAAGTCAACTATAGAGTCAAAGGTACCACACCCAGGCCCTGGGTTGGATACACTCACTTGTTGTGCGCAGGTACCCAAACAACATCCAGGCCGGAGGGAATTCGGTTTCAGGCCGATCTGAGCCCTCATTCGCTATTGCATACTGTAACGTGCAGACCACAACAAGAACCGACCTCTCAATACAAAGTACAGGATAACACAGCGGAAGACTTAGATATGAATGATCCGAACAATCAATATTGCAATGCAGCCCTGAACACACATCATCATCATCGTTACCTGGTGTGAAGGGGGTCTGGCGCTTCACACAAGA